TGGTCAAGCACCCTCGAGGCAGTTACACAGGGCTTACAACTGTCTCTGGAAGCGAAGCACCAGAAAAAACATTAAGTCATACGCAGCTGTCAACCGTGTGCAGGGAAGAAAGCACAAGATGCTGAACACCCTCAGCAGGTTGCAGCGCACCCTTCATGCGGCTCGCCGAATACCTCACGGCGCTTCGCGCTTGGTGATGTGAGAGCCTGGTCCGGTGNTTTTGAGAAACTGGATGGAAACAACGTGCCAAACAACGACGTTGGACGTTGCTCACTCGAAAACCTGTGCTTCGACTACGCTAAGGTGAGCTGAGCCGGTTGCTGCTTGTCATAAGTATTTTCACGCTCACGCCTTGATGCTTTTACTGTCACTTCCTCGTTTGTGGCCACTTGTTCAGTGGCGTCCAAATCCCAGGAATCTTGGTGTTTTGTACGCTCCTCATGCGCTGCTTAATTTCGTGTAGACGTGTTATGTAGATACGCGCCGTCTTTGGTGCACCATGTGCATCAAATCTACCCCCCCCCCCCCCCCCCCCCATCCTCTCTCCATTTTTCTTTTTCAGTCCAAACTTGCGACTGTCCCGCTTACAGTTCCTGATGCTCTACGGCCTTGCCCCTCGAACGAAGACCATCTACCTGGGGCAACACAGCAGAAGTGCCTTGTGGTGCATGTTCGTGGGTTTGCGAACATTGGTGTTGGATACGTGTGTGCTGGATGAGTTGGTTTCACGCAGACTGGTAAGGTTGCCGTTTGGTAGGGGGTACCGCGATGATTCACGGGGCCCCTCCTTGCTGTAGGAGCCGCTCGTTGAGCACTCCCTCTTTCTTCCGTGTGAAGGACGGTCGTCTACTTCTCGTGAAGTTAATACATCACCAAAGCAGTCTCACCCTCTAAATAAGTGGCGTGGACCGCAAACACTCTGTAGAGTCTTTTGCCCCTCGAGGGGAGCCACATCGGGATAAGCTCTGCCAGAGATGAGGTGCCCACTGCTGCGAGCGGAGAACAGATCCGCTTGCCGGTGGAGGAGGGCCGCGATGCAGAGCTTGCAAGTTCGCCACGGCAGATTTCGCAATTGGCGGCCCTGGTGGAGGAGTCGGTGAAGAAGAAGGAGCCTGGCAGCGTCGTGGCGGATGCAGCCAGTAGGGGCAGCTGGGTTGCCGCCACGGGAGGCCAACAAGCACCTCCGCTGCCGCTCGGCGGTGGCGGGGGATTTCTCCAGCAGCAAGCGAGAGGTAGTGGGCAAGGACCACGGCAGCTGCTGGAAGGCGGCTGGGTCAGCAGATCAGGAGCGAACCCTGTTTGACCAGCCGGAGTGGGCCCGGGCATAGGACCGGACTACGGGCAAGCGAGGGGATTAAACCACCCAGGTGAGATACCCGTGATTCGAGAAAATGGAGAATTTCTCGACGGCTACAGCAGTAGCCACATGAAGAGAGTAACAGTCAATGCCCCGCGTCTCGAAGGGGAGAGTCGCGGCCATGGGTATGATTCGTGGAAATAGTCGCTTATCCAAGCAGCCATGACTGTAGGACTGGACGGCCAATTGATCGGCAACAACGAAAGACATGTAGCTGTCGGCAGCCCAAGCGTGCCAAGCTCGGAGCTGTGCCGCCTCCAATACACCAGCGACGAGGTCCAGAGGGGCCTCCAAGCATTCCATTTTGTGACCACTGTCACAGTCAGAGAAGCCGACAAGGCGATCGTGAACAAATACGAGACCGCAAAAGAGATCCTCGCGGAACTCGACAAAACTACAATCCGGAATCGCAGGGATCGAAACAAGCCCTCATGAAGAAAATGTTCAACTTCACGATCCCCACACACAGCAGCAGAAACCCCATCGAGCACCTGTACTCGCTCGAGCTTCTGTACCCTTTGTACTCGCCCACTTCGTTGGTTCCCTCCCACCCGAGTACCAACAAGCGAAGTTCCTGTTGGAGACAGCAACGGCGCTGGATAGGGCCGAGGTCATCAGAATCGTGGGCACGGTGCACGCGAGCCTTCCGGAGGGGAGGAAGGCCTCGAAGGGCCAGTGGGGGCCGAGCACGCTCTCATCGCGAGAAACGGTAGCGGTGGGGGAGGAGCGCCGGGCCGCGGCAACGGCGGCCGCCGNATCAGAATCGTGGGCACGGTGCACGCGAGCCTTCCGGAGGGGAGGAAGGCCTCGAAGGGCCAGTGGGGGCCGAGCACGCTCTCATCGCGAGAAACGGTAGCGGTGGGGGAGGAGCGCCGG